ATCTGAAATACCCATGGGAAACCACCTACTAAACTTTGAAATCTCACTTCCTGTATCATATATTCTGTACAGTGCTCCCTGTTTTACTCAATCAGGCATAATTATCTTAAGAATGGTTTATAAGATATTCTTTTCTCCTCACTACACTTAGTTTTCAGAGGACAAGGACCCTATTGTTTCACCATTGTACTCTCAACACTAAATTAAGAGTCAAGAACACTTGACAAGAGTTTGCTCTACTGATCAAAGAGCTCGTTAAGGCTCCTGCTTTTGTGCCATATTGGAGTGCTTGACATGTGGCTGTAGCTTCCTGATAGTGCAGACCCTAAGAGGCAGCAGTGATGGCATGGGAGACACGTGGATCACCGTTCACAGCTCTGGGCTTCCACTTGGCTTTTGCAGATGTTTGAGGAGTAACACAGCAGATGGGAACTCTTGCTCTCTGCTCCTCAAATAAGCAAATTTTTTAAAGAAAAGAGCACAATAGATACTAAATATTTATTGTGTGAGTGAAACAAAGATGGGAGTAATAAAAAAGATAAGAAGGAACCCGAAACCCCAACTGCTATCACAGCCTTAAGTAAGATTTCAAGAAAAATTTTGGTGGGAAGTCTTTAGAAAATAAATGTGTACACAGATCAAGAATACTAATAAAGACACACATAATACACATACAGATATATGCACACACACAGGATTTTGTAGTTGGAAGTTGAGTTCAACCCACCACTACCCACTAAAATTCCACATTTGTCTTCACTGTGGTTGTCGGTTAACAACTGTTGTCTTCGTTTATCTCTTTTTGTGTATAGAAGAAACTGACAAGTGACCTCTTGTTCTGTAATTAGCTGTAACAGAAACTCCCTAACGTAAAATATGAAGTTGTATTATTACTTATTAACAAATTAAAACTTTTGATTGATTTATCCGAAACAAAGGAGAAATCAGAGGTAAGGCATTTCTACCAACATCTTCAGCTCTGAAGTTCCTTTTCCTACAATGCTGTGACTCCTCCATACACCAAGGAAACCAGAAACTCAGCCAAATGAAGGCTAGGACTTGTTCCTCGGGGAGAAGCTTCTAAAGATGCCAGAATCCTGAAAGAATTTAACCCATGCTAATCTGGGGTTCTGTGGCCTTTGCCCCCCCCCAAAAAAAAGAAAAAAATCATTGTGCTACTGTCTAAAAAGCAGTGTCTCAGGTACCCCCGATCAGAGAACTGTTTATTTTCAATTCAGTTCCCTACAAGAACACCCAGAGGGTCTGATATGGGAGCCTCCACTGGTCAGTGCTGGACATTCTACCATGCATTGTTTTCCAGTGTTCCACCTCTCTGGCTATGTGACAGAGACAAATGAGCCATTTTAGGTCCAGGGTTTGGGTCCTAGACGTGTTCTCCACTTTGCTGGCTTATATATCAATTCTCTGTTTCAAACCTTTTTTCTTTGGGAATGAAAAAAAAAAAAACCAGTTGAATTTTGGTGCAAAAACTTGTAAATCCACACTTTTTTCATAATATGAATTTTTATGGGATTTTCTTTTTTATCTTAAAATATTTCATATACTAGAGAAAATTATAAAGAAGAGTTCGATGAATGCATATATTTTAACAATTTTTTTATTATAACTACCCTGTAGTATGTCTTGAAATCTGATTTTGTGATGCTTCTGGCTTTGTTTTTGTTATATAAGATTGCCATTTGGGGTCTCCTTTGTTTCCATATTACTTTGTCATATTCAAATGTAAATATTATACATATACACATGCAATTTTAAAGCTGAGGGGATATATGAGTGTCACAGAGTGTGGGGATTCACAAAGTGAGTAAAGAAGAGTATACTATTATGTGAGAGGAATAATTCATGGAAAACAACATTTATTAATATCTATATAGTAAATAATATGGCACTCACATTTTAAAAATATTTACTTATTTATCTGTGTGACAGGCAGAGTGACAGTCAGAGAGAGAAAGACAGCAATCACACATCCACTACTTCACTCCCCAAATGGCTGCAATGGCCAGGGATGACCCAGGCTGAAGTCAGGAGCCTGGAACTCCGTCTGGGCCTCCCATGTAAGTGGCTGGGATTGAGATACTTGTGACATCATTCCTTGATTTCCCAGGCACATTAGCAGGGAGATGGATCTGAAGTAGAACAGCTAGAGCTCAAACCAGAGCTCCCATTTAGGATGCAGGCATCAGAAGTGACGGCTTAACCCACTGGACCGCAATGCCACCCTGTAAATTTTTATTATATATATACATATACATATTAATTTCCACATATGAGGGAAATCATGTGATATTTGCCTTTTTAGCATAATGATCTCCGATTTCACCCATTTGGTTTCAAATGTCAAGCTTTCATGTTTTGTTAGGACTGAGTAATATTCCATTGTGTTTATTTAACACACTTTCTGTGTTCATGCATTCAAGGAGAGACACCTAGGTTGACTTCGTATCTTTGTTAATGTGACTGCAATGGACTTGGGAGTACAGGTATCTCTTTCATATGCTGACATCATTTCTATTTCAGTCTGGCAATCACAGCTGGGCGTCCCTTCTAGTTATCACATTACCTGCTTCTCTAACAGTGTGTGTATTGTGAATATAATGACTGATTTGTAAAATATAAAGTCGGGCATGGCTTGATCTCTGTTGTGGACACAGACAGATGAGTGATTCTGCTAGCTCTTCACTGACTCTTCGTGTTTGCTGTGTGTGGCACCATGCTGATCACTCGGCGTGGGTTACCCAGTGACTCTGTACCACGACCTTGGGAGACAGGAACTCTTATCTTATATGAGTGGCTCAAATGAGAAAGTGGAAAAGGGGAGAAATGGAGGTCCGTGGAGTTGGGAAGTGGTGAAGGCAGGCCTGGAAGACATGGAGGCGACTCTAGCATCTGCAACCTCTTTTCCTACAAGTGAAGCGCATGTCTAGCACCGAGTGGCAAACGTGGCAGTAGAAACACACACAGGATCTGAAGGAAGGGAACTCTCGGGGACAGCTTCGATGAGGAAGGGGACATGCTCTTGGCAAGGAGGACTGGAGCTGGAAGAAACCCAGTAGACGTTGAAAGGTCAGAGGTGACCACCAAAGCAGCAGGAGCGAAGCAGTTTCTTCCCCACTTGGCATTCTCCCAGGGCACAGCAAAAGGCGGGCCTAGGAGGAAGAGGCAGCTGGAGGAGAGGGGGTGAATAAAGAGTCACAGGGAAGAATCAAAGAGGGAGCTTCCAGGGCCTATTGAATTTTGCAATTAGGTCTTCATTATTAATCACAAAAGCTATTATGTTCTTTCTGCCTGGTGCGGATCACCCACATGCTCTCACGGAGTCTCCATAACCAACATCCAAGTGTGTGTTATTATCTGCAGGGCAGTTCCTGGGGAGGCCAAGGGCAAAATCCAAACCACAGGAGCTTGAGCAGTGATTGAGTGGGGAGAACAGAGTCTGCATTTGGGATAAATTTGGGATAAAAGGGGATTGAGTCCCTACAAAAGGCTTGTCAGCGTGCCAGTCACTTTAGCACTGCTTTCTAATGTCATCCAAACAAAACTCTAAAAGGAATGTGTTGCTGTCCACTATCAAAGGAGAAACTGATAGCTGGGCATTTGGCAAAGTGGTTAAGACCCCACTCCAGTCACTGCATCCCATACTGAAGTCTCTGGTTCAAATCCCGATTCTGTCTTTGATCCGGCTTTCTGCTACTGTACACCATGGAAAGGAGGCAGATGATGGCCTGGGTACTTGAATCTCTGTCACATATATGGGAGACCCAGCTGGAGTGCCTGGCTCCTGGCTTCAGCCTGGCTGGCCCTGGCTTTTGTGGGTATTTGGAGGGTGAGCCACGAATTAGAAGATTTCTGTCTCTCTGGCCTCTATCCTTGTCTCTGTCTTTCAAATAAGACATAGGTGAATAACCAAATATTTGAAAAAAGACATTTGAGGCCTCATTGTGACTCTTAAGTGCACCTTCTTTTCAATAATGCCCACTGCCCCACCCAGGGAAGAGGGAGCTGCCACAGACATTGGAGGTTTCTCTTCCCCGGCCAGGAACTGCAACGGGAACGTTGACACATCTTGTCCGTGCAACGTTCAGCTTAAATGCTCATTCCATTATCAACAGTGTGATGGGCAAAGGACTGAGCCCAGAAGTCACCCCCTGAGTTTAGGGCTCAGCTTTGCCATCTACTTGCCATCTCTTTGCCTCAGTTTCCTTGTCTGTTCTAGAACTTCGTTGGTGGTATTAACCGTGAAACAATGACTAACAAGTGTCTAGGCCATGATGCAAGCGGGTAAAATGATAGCGAGTATTTTAATCTGCATTCCACAAGGAAGAAGAGCAAGCATCCATCCATCCCTCCATTCCCCACGGAACCCTCCCCGGCCCTAAGTGAGGTCGAGCTCTCTTCTCTTATGTATTCATTTGTTTTTAACAATGGATTAAGTCGCACGCATTCTCTCTCAAGCGGTGAGGAAGACACAAGGAGAGAGGGGGCTTCAATGAGGAAGTTCTCAGAGCCAAAGGCAACCAAGGCCCCAGGCGCTGGCGCAGGTGCAGGGGGTCCGCACGCCGCTCAGGAGAGGCCCAGAAAAGGGGCAGAGGATACTGTTCCAGCATGGAATACGAATTTGTTTGGAATCAAGAGAGAGAAAAGAAAACAAAACAGGAAGAAACTTCAATTTCCCCTGCCTCCTTGCCAGCCCGAATATAGCCACTGCCCTTGAAAAGATTAAAAGAAAAAAAAAATTTACTCCGTCCCTCCTACTCTTTCCTTCTTCCTCCAGGATCTGCTCCCTTCCTGCTCCTCTCCCCAGCACCCCCACTCCACCCCGACTCCCTCTTCTCGCCCTCCCTCTCTCCCTCTGCTGGTTCGCTGGTGTTTTCCTCCCTCGCATCCGTCTGTGCTGTGGCAGGGTCCGAGCAGCCGAGAGGGCGAGGACCAGCTTGGCTGCGGACAGATCAGTCCCGGGAAGAAAGATCGAAGTCAGTCTCTCTCTCTCTCTCTCTCTCTCTCTCTCTCTCTCTCTCTCTCTCTCTCTCTCTCTCTCACACACACACACACACACACACACACACACCCCACAATCAAAACTCGGACCGACCGCTGCGTCTCCTCCAATCCCTGGAAACGGCGAGCGAGCGCCCTCCGGACGGACCGCTGCGCGCACCCCGCTCGGGCACGGAGCCCGGCGCTCCGCTAGTCCTTGTCCCCAGCGCCGCCGCTTCGGCCGGGTGTTCCCGAAAATCAAGCGGGGAGGGAGGGTAGAGACAGCGCCCAAAAACACCCGGGCCACACACGCGGCGACCTGCAGCTCCTTCCCGGCGTCCGAGTCCGCCGGCACCCGCAGCGCCCAGCGTCTGTGAGGTCCGCGCCGCTGCCCGAGAGGAGCCCACCTGCTGGTCCGCGCTCGGCCGGGGCAGAAAGTGAGACTGTCGCTGTCGCGTTCCAGCCGCGCCCTGCGCTCCGAGAGACCTCTCCCCAGCCGGAGTGGCGTTCAACCCTCGGCTCTGCCAGCGGCCCCTCGCGCCCTCGGAGTGTCCCCCGCCCCCCTCCCGCCACGCCGCGCAGGGACCATGGCCTGGGCGCGCGGGCTGCTCTGTCTGTGGCTGAGCTGCGTCTGCGTGAGCCTGGCGCGGACGGAGAGGCCGAGGCAACCGTTCCCGGAGCTCCGCAAAGCTGGGCCAGGGGACCGCGCGGCAGGTGGTGGCCCGGGCCCGGAGCTGCAGCCGCACGACAAGGTGTCCGAGCACATGCTGCGGCTCTATGACAGGTACAGCGGTGGCGGCAGGGTCCAGGCGCCACGGACGCCAGGCTCGCGGGAGCGGGGCTCGCAGCCCGCGCACCCCCAGCCCCTGCGCGAAGGCAACACCGTGCGCAGCTTCCGAGCGGGAGCAGCAGGTGAGTGCGCGAGGTGAGCCCCCTCCCGCCGTCTGCCCCGGCTTTCCCCACCGCGGCGTCCCCGCGGGCTCCTGGTCCTCCCCGGGCTCGGTGGTGCTGCCTGGGGACCTTTCTCCGCCCTCCGCTGCTGCCCTGTGGACCCCCTGGTCCCGTCCCAGGCCACTTTGTTCCAGTGGCGCGCCCGGTAAGCCCGGTTTTTCAAGTCCAAGGAGAGAAGGGAGACGCACGGCGGCAGCGGAGGGGGTTCGCTGGAGGACCTGCATGGGAAAGGGGTAGGGGCGACTCCTCCTGCCCCGCGGAGCCCTCCTGCGCGGGGCGCCTGGCGCACCTCTGGGGTACCTCATGCTGATGAATCCTAAATGGGCCGGCGGAAATTCCCCTGGGCTGGGCTAAGCCATGTTTGCCAAGAAGCAGATGCCATTTTCTGCCAACCCCAGGGCCCCAGAGAGAAAAGTCACATTGGAGCTTAGACGCCGTCTCCTCGCCTTTTAGACTGTGGCCTCTCCAGATCTGGCACCGGCCCTAAACTCGCACCCTCGGTGCTCCTGCAGTTGATGCTTTCTATTCGACAGTCCCTCGGTGACAATCGCACAGAAAAAAACAGGTGCTGGGGTGTTGCGATGACTTCAAGCCATCCGAGCAGATAGGGCTTGTACCATCCACCCGGGGAGGAGCGGGGTGGGAGGGGGAGGGATGCGAGGGAGCATCCGCGGACGTAAACACCTCTTGGAATCCGCCGATGAAAATCTGCTCATCCCATTTTTCAACACAGATCACTGCGGACTGAAATTCATGGCTTAACAGGGTTTCTTGTAGCCCCTGTGGTGAAGCCAATAATTTATGCTAACAGCTTCCCTCCCTTGTGCTAACAGCTTGCGGGAAAGTTTCCTGGACACAAACTCCCTTGGTTGGCTTTGAGGATGCACCAGGCTTTTTTCGTTTGCTACATACATGATAAAGGAAAGTCTGTCCTCAGAGAACCGTTGAAAAATAGCCAAGAATCTTGAAGGAAGGGGGCCATGCCTCAATGCTCTTTCAATTCTGTCAGAATTACTAGAAACAAAGCCCCCCAAAACCTTGGTATGTAGGACTCCTGGAACAAAAAAAGAAAGAAGGGAAACCAATGCATCCATCAAGGAAAGCCCTGGGCTGACACTGGAAATACACTGTAGAGCCCAGAGGCACACTGGCCTTCACAATAAATGTGAATTATGTCCTCTAATGCAGAAGTCTTTAGCTGGAGTCTGGGCTGAAGCAGGTTTCACTCTTGTTCAACCTTGAGCATGGTCTGTAAGGAGCTGGCCTCCCCTACAGAAGCAGACACTGGCCCTGTGTCACCCAGAGCATCCCAGCCACTTGAGGAAGGTGCCCTGACAGGCGGCCACACCAGTGAACCTGCTGTTTCCTTGACCACAGTACTGAGGCCAGAGCTCAATGAAGGAACAGTGTAGGAGCTACAAGAATTGGAAGGAAGTGGAGTGGGCAGGGGAGGTGGAGAGAATGCAGATACTTAAACCTCTGTTAGCTGGATACCCACGTTCTTCCTTATACTCCTAGAGTATAACATAGGCACCCAAGAGACCAACAGTATTTTTTTTTAACAACAACTTTCACTTTTAGTATGAGCCACAGGGGTTTGGAGGTGGAATTTGAGTATGCTTCATTCACACACATTGAATAGCTTTTTGTTTGTTTTAGGCTGAGTGAACCATGGACAAGGATTTGAATAACTCAGGCATCGAATACTTTTTTGGCTGCAGCTCATTCCACACATTATAATTTCAGAGTGTTCCTTATCAACCTCCTTGAGGCGGATACCATCAAATGATAAACTCTGATACAGAGGCCAGGCGTTGCCTTGAAATGATGAATTGCAGCTTGAAGCATATATACAAGGCTGTATGTGCTGATAAGGAAAGTAATCTCTTTAGCATCCTAGGGCCTGTCTTAATGACTTATTCATCAAATGTAGACACTGGTTTTTGTGGAAGCTAAAGTGTCATGTTACCTCATTGGAGACTCCCAGAGAGGTGGTTCGTGTTGGACCCCTTCCAAGTGGGTTTAGTTACTAATGCACTAAAAAGACCTTTTTATAAGACAGGTCTGTCTGTAATAAGGCAGGACTCCAGGAAGGTGCTAAGGTTTTCATGTATGTCCCTCTTACTACCTCCATATCAGCATTGCCATAATACTCTTCGCCCTGTGACCTGTGTTCTACAGTAGGTGAAAGATGCTGTCTGCATTAATAAATTAGATACCATTTCCAGTCCAAACTGTTGAAGTTTCAAGACATACAGGCTTTGTACAAAGATGTTACAGATGTTAAGAGCAGCTCAGGTGGTGTGCCGTATATATGATCCGGCAGACCCTCCCAGTGCTTATCCAGGCTGAGTTATGGCCTTAGAGACCTATTTGCTCCTTGGAACATACCTGATTAAAGTTATTTATTGTCCTGAACCTTGTATGTCTTTGGTTGAAATTCAGCTGCTGTGGTCTCCCTCTGATTACTTTCTACTTAAACCATTATGGGGATGGTGGGTGGCATGCATCCTAAATACACCTTCCATGAGTCCCCTTCTCCCTCAGTGTCAGGCAATCGGTGTGCAAAACCCTAGGTCTGAAGAGCTCATAAGCTTTTTGGGATGTGTAAGTGTTTAGCATAAAGATGGGTTTTATCTTACTCTTTGTAAAAGGTAATTTTTAAAAAGTATTGATGACAGGGAAGTCCAGTCTTTTAAAAACACACCATCTTGAAGGAAGACAGGAGGACATGAAATCAGCTTTTATTTTAATTTTATTTTCATTTAATTTAATTTAATCTTAATTGTATTTAAGTAGTTCTTGGCTACTCTGAGAAAAAAAGAGAATATTTTAGATGAAGCTTTTCTCCTGTCTGAATCCTTTGTGTTCATTGATTTCTAATCACTACCACAGTCATTTAATTTTATGCTTCCTAATCATAAATATACTCTCTTTAGGAAAATCAATTAAAGCACCATTGTTCTTACTAAGAAATTGTCACTATTTATGGAATGTTACACTTCGGTGAGCATGTGTTAACTTTTAAAAAAATCACATACATTTCATGGATAAAATAAAAATTTGGGTAATCTATACCTGAAAGTGATTATTTTCCATCAGTGAGTTAAAGAAGATTGCTTCCTACCATCACCAAAGCGTGGTATAAAGAATTATGACTTTGGCATGTCTCTAAAGTACAAGAATGAAATATAGGCTTTGGAAGCTATAGGTCATAATTACAGGTTGAATGATTATCACTTCAAAATGAGCCGTTTCTATAAAACACACAGACCAGTGGGAAAGCATCATTTTTGATGGAGTTAGATGGCTATAGAATAACTTTGTTAAAACATAATTACCTTGAAATGCTTGGCATCTAAAAATTAAACATGAAATTAAAGAGTATTCAGGTTATCTGGTTTTTTTTTTTAAAAAAAGGACAACAGTACATCTGGAGAGGAGGAAACTTACATGCAGCTGCTTTGAATTAAACACTACTTTGAATACATGATAGCCTTTAATGAAGTTTTTACTGTAACAGGCAAGACAGCTTTACAATCTCTGACATTTAAAAATCCATAATACCATAAATTCTTGATTATCCACGCTAATGGAATGGAGAAAGGGAATGAATTACATAGAAAATAATTCAAATTTAGCTTTGTAGTATAGTTAGATGCATTCAAAGAGACTGAGGAACCGCAAGGGTCAATGAAAAAAACCATAAGCGGATAATTCACTCGAGGAATATTTACCCATTAAAATGTGTGTATATGTTTTACAAATAATTAAGAGTGATATGCACATTTTAGCTAAGCAGTGGACGGTCATAAGTACTTGATTCAGATTTTTCTGAAAATTGAATTGGGATGTTACTGTCAAACTTACTCTGATGCACTTTTGCATTATAAAATTTTGCGTTTGGAAGAGGCATTGATTAAAACAAGTCAGACTCTTCCTTCAATGGAAAGAGAAGTGGGTATCATGCTATTTTTTGCCAAATAATTTTTCCAAATATATTGAGCTCATCTTAAAACCTAATAATTTCAATAGCCTGATGCAATTTTCTAGGAGAAAATCTCACAAAAGACGGTGTCTGGATGATGATAGCAGGTGTTGTATAAACTTAGGTCACACAGTCAAATACATTTGGAAAAAAAGATCAGTTTCATTTTCTGTGGGACTTTCAGAGCCTTTGGAAGCTATTGAGTCCCTTTAGGAAGGGAGCACTTGCTGCCGAAGGGAGCATTTTAGAGGATTGTGGATCTAAGATGTTCATTTAGTTGGGAAGACTCTGGTTGAGAAACTTCACGACTTGGCAAGAAAGAAGGTATGCAAAATTCAGAGTGACAACTGTCTCATTCCTCCCATTTAGTATTTGTCTTGAACTGATACTGACTGTCTTTCTGGCTTCATGTTACAAACTTCTCTCAGTATACTTTTGCAATCTCTTTCATCAAATTTTATTTGTCCTGTTTCCTTACTGTTTTCTTCTGTTGTTTTCTCCCATATGGCTAACATTTACTATTTCACAGTAGGTATTATACTTAAAAAGAAAAGCTACTTTATTTGTGGAGAACCTCAGGAGAGATCATACATATCAGTACCCTGAAGAAAGAATCATTTACTCAACACATCTATCAAATCCATCATATAATCCTAAGTATATATTGCATTTAATAGAAATAGTAAAAATCATACCTTTCTAAATCTTCATGAAAACTATTGAGCAATTTGGCCTACATTTTCTATTAGTGAGTTAAGATTTTTGTTCTATTATATCAGAACATTTCTCCCTAAATCTTGATGATTTTCCCATCTGTTAAATTTGTGTATTCTAGTAATCAATTTATACCTTAATTACTTTATTTTCATGCTAATAGTGGAAAGAACTTCGGCATCAAATTGTCTCAGCTTCAGCTTTCCTATGCCAAGTTTCAATTGAGTGAGTATTTGTGATTATGATATGAGTTCATGAG